GTTAGAGATTCCCATCAAGTGCTTCTTGCCATTTGCTACCTCTGTCTGTCATTTAAATGCCCCAAATATGCATAGGCATACATTTAATTTAGCGAAGGGACATATGGGAAGTCTATAAAGTTTAGGTACTAGAAAATGTTAGCTGTCTATTGTGGTGATACTTTGTGCTTTAACAAATAAAGCTTGCCTGAAGATCAGAGTTTAGAGGTAAACCACTAGTTAGCCATAGAGACCAGGCAGTAGTGGAACACACCTTTAATCCCAGCACTCAGGGGGCAGAGGCAGACAGATCTCTGGGAGTTCAAGGCCACCCAGGGTTACACAAGATTTATGCAGTCTAAAAGAGAAATAGAGCCAGGCAGTGGTGGCTCATACTTTCAATCCCAATACTTGGGAATCACATGCCTTTAATACCAGCACTAGGGAGCCGAGATGAAGGGATATGGCTGGGCAGAGAGGAATATAAGGTGGGAGGAGACGGGAGCTCAGAGCATTCAGTCTGAGGATTCCTAGAGACAGGATCACCCATTGATCTGAGGAATCCTAGAGACAGGATCACCCATTTGATCTGAGGAATCCTAGAGACAGGATTTCCCATTTGGTGTAAGGATTGGTAGGGACAGGCTAGCCCCTTTGGACTGAGAATTCAGTAGAGGTAAAAACTAGTGACTAGCTGCTCTGCTTCTCTGATCTTTCAGCATTTATCCCTATATCTGACTTGGGGTTTTTATTATTAAGACCAATTATAATTTGCTCTGCAGTCTGTGATTTCAGGGTATGGGCTGTCTGGAGATTAAGTTTTGCCCTAACAATCAAAATTTATTCAAAATATATGCAAAACCAATGGCTGTGGGAAAAGTAAATACTTATCCTACCATTAAGTCTCCCCTATCATTTGTATTATCATAAAAATTAACCATATAGGTGAAAATCTAGAAATAGAAATGAGTGTCTAAATTGTTGCTTTCTTCTCTTCCTCCTATGTTTTCAGAGGTAACGACTTTCACATAATTCTGTCATTAATTTATTCTCCAGGTCACTGTCAGATCTCTAAAGAACATCCCCCATCTCTAAATAATTCTCGTCAGGCTCTGGCTACTAGCCTGTAGCTGGTATTCATCTCACGTACATGACCCTACACCCTGTGTCCTTGGTCATCTGTGACTACTGATTGCACAGACTGCATTTTATAGTGAGTGGAGTACACCTGCACCCCAAATTACCAATTCTTCCCCCAAGACCTCCATTTCTTAGTCTACTACTGTTTTCTCTCTGTCTCTGTCTCTGTCTCTGTCTCTCCCTCTCTCCCTCTCCCTCTCCCCCTCCCCCTCCCCCTCTCTCTCCTTCTCCCCCCCCCCAGTGTCTCTCTGTCCTTCTCTCCACAGTGTCCCACTCTCCTCTCCCGAATGTCTGTCATTCTCTCCCAGTGTCTGTCTGTCTTTCTCTCCCTAGTGTCTATCTGTCCTCTCACCAGTGTCCACCTGTCTGTCCATGCCCAATGTCTGTCTTTCTCTCACCAGTGCCCTTCCGTCCTTATCTCCCCAGTATCCATCTTTCTTTCCCCGGTGTCCA